CCGAGTGCCTGTATTAGTTAACTATTCAAAACAACATATTTTAGGGCTATGATTGGTAGATCAACCATCAGATAATGAGTTGAAAAGGTTTTTAGGACACCTCACAATAGAATAGAGGTATGGTATCATGAGTGTGACAAAGTTACCCAAATATTGCCTTGTAACCGTTCGATCCGTGCCCATTAACCAATGTTGTATCATAATTGTTAGATTGACCTAATTTACTATATTTCAGACCAAGGAATGATAATTAGACAACTGCAGTTAACTAACTCACACAAAATGTGACAATTGAAACATTATAGTGCCTAACAACAATAGATTTTCTTTCTGAGCGGTGCATATGGGAGTATGGGTTACGTGGCTAATGTTCAGAACTTCTGAACGTGCTAGGTTAATAGATGTCAAAATTAAGCCACTATAGCTATCGTCAAAAACGCTATTATTTTTGTTTACCAATATCCTCAAACTCAAATGAACGTGTCCATATACAATTGAAACGTTTTTGACTGGGTCAAATGCTTTAATGGCCTCCAAATCAGCATGAAAAAATAAAAAATAGGCCAAGAAATAGGAGTTTTAGACCCCAAAATTTGGACCCCCAAGTGGTGTCAAAAACGCAAATTAAATAGGTAATAATTATTATAGTCTCTTGAGTCTTGACACCATTTTAGGGTTATACGGGTTCCTGCTAGTAATGATAACGACTGTCCATCATAATGCCAGATATCTCCACTGATTATGACTAATTATCATGATAATAATAGATAACTCTAATTGCAGTAAATATGTAATATGTATAACCCTAGGTCACGAACAACACCCTGGAAGCAAATCACCCACTTACCATGCTTTCCAGTGAAAGTGGCGGGTATGTTCGTGGGAAGAGTTATAGAGAAGGGCAAGTTGTGACGTCCAGCCGGAAGCTTGATCTCCTCCCTGCCGTCCCCGATGAGATGCGCTTTTATGTTAAGGTAGGTCTTAGAGTTTTTATAGCGAACAGTGCGCCTATCGTCTCCTTTCCCCTCTTTCGCTTTCCAAGCAACCTATAGAAGATATGTAGTAAAATAGGATTAGGGTCAATTTAGTAGGGTCAAGGGTTAAGTTAGGTTTTTAGTACAGTTTATATTATAGTTTAATAGTTAGTTCTTATAGTCCATAATTAGAGTAAAGTAATTTCGTAGGTTTTATATTGCAGCATCTTTTAGAATCCTTTTAGTGCTAGGTTACATTCATTTACATTTCTTATCTTTAAATTTTAGTTTTACGTGTAAGTAAGAGCACGCGGAAGTTGTACTCATGCGTGACTTATATTCACGCGTGAGTGCAGCCTTTTTAAGGGCCTACTTGTTCAGTGCGGGCGTCTAGTCTGTGTCACGTCCCCCTTTTGGAGAGTTTTTAAGATTATCACAAAGTACAATACGTTTATTTACCGAATTATCCAAAGACTTTTTTCTATTCTATTTAGACATTTTTAGTGAGACACACTTCTCACCTTTATAAGTTTACTGTTGAAGTTTAGTAAGGCACACTCCTTACTGTTGTATCGGACACACTTCTGATACAACTAAATTGTAGAGACACACTTCTCTCCTTTACTGTTACGTATTTATTGTTGAAGTTTAGTAAGGCACACTCCTTACTGTTGTATCGGACACACTTCTGATACAACCAAATTGTAGAAACACACTTCTCTCCTTTATTGTTACGTATTTATTGTTGAAGTTTAGTAAGGCACACTCCTTACTGTTGTATCGGACACACTTCTGATACAACTAAATTGTTGAGACACACTTCTCTCCTTTTCTGTTATTGATATTGGGACATACTTCCCGATCGTTTGATACTAGTGAGTGTAGATTGACATAAGTTAGGAACGCCCACGTTCTCGCCACGTAAGACCACCTATAGTATAATACCTCGTTTACAACAGATACCCTGAGTTAAATAACTGTGGGGTGTGGTGGGGTGGGGTGTGTGGGGTGGGGTGGGGTTGGAAGAGGGGGTGGGGTTGGAAGAGTTGAGTAATCCACAGTGAGAACGAGGTAACTACAATGAAAACTTGTTTATCCTGTAATAAATGGCATAAAATTGAAATCGTTGTTTAACTGAATAAATAATTCATATAGACTGAATGAATAATTTATATAGACTGAATGAATAATTTATATTGGAGACTAGACTAGGGACCATATCAATCTTCACATAGTAGCAACAAGTAAGCAAGCCAATCACTCGCTTCACTGGATGATCACTATTATAATTGACTATACAGTGTACAAGAAGGAAGTAAAATGGGGACCCCTGACCCAGCAAAGTCCCCTATCATTGGTCCACTCCCGATCACGAGCACGTTACTGTGCGCATATAGACGATTTACACATGTATTTTGATAGCTCCTGCTAAACTAACTTTTCTTATTAATTAATAAATCTTAAAATTACCTATTACCAAGGTTTGATGCCTATGCAGTCGAGACCTCTTATTGAGACCCGATACAATAAAAACAATATAATATAACTCAGATTATGTAATTACACTTACATTGGCGTCACCATGCATTTCCAAGGTAATGGCACGGAAGTCAAGCTCAGCTGCTAATTCGAGAAACACCTGCCCTGCTATGGTCTGTCCGGGAGAGTATACTGGCAGAGGGTTCCGGTTGTGAAGCCTGATCTCAAACTTTGTTATCGAATACTTCTTCATCTTTATATGTAACCTTCCCATCTTCAATAACAGAAATTCAGAGTCTGTTATTGATTTTAAAATTAATCTACTAGAAAAATTTAAGAAGACTAATGTTTTAGTAGACATATAAGTGTCAGTTATGGGAAAATATTATTATTATAAAACAGGATCTTACCGACAAAAATGATTCTTAAAAATACCTAATAATGCGGTATAAACTATATCCTTGAAAAAGATTTTCCCAACATCTGTTGCATGCAGCTATATCTCTAATTTCGTTCAATTCCTGCAAATTGTCCATTCGCAAATTTCTACTACTTATGTCACTTCTTAAAACCGATAACAAGTTCATTCTAGGTCTCCCCAATCTTCCAATGAATAATTTATCTGATTCAATAGCAAAAGAGAGAGCCGTTTGGGCTGGGATGTTCTCCATACTCCTGAGAATGTGTCCAAACATCTTCTCTATGGGAAGACAGAGGGTGTAAATTATATCAAGAAGAAGAAGAAGAAAGAAGTAAAATATTTGCATAAAAATCCGTGTGTTGCCAAGAGAAATGGAGTAAATATCTCTTGATTTTTTCCATTCACACTCTTTTGTAAAAAGACAGTACTAGTGAAAGGTTAAGAATGGTCATTTTTGCAGAAAAAGAGGGATTTTGGAGACTTATTAGAATTAGAATTAGAATCAAATTTACACAGCAATATAATAAAGATAGTAAAAAAATTTAGAGATGCTTCGATCTGCTGTGCAGGACATTCAAATCAGTCCAAAACTGTTAATGGAGTGCCCTTCTAAGGACTAAAAATCAAAACATACTATAGTATGTATATAAATAATAAGTTATAAGTTAATGAGTATAAGGTATGGTAAATTGGTGGGTTGAAACATTGAACTGTGGGCATGAAGGTAACCATTAAATTATTACGAAAATTACATAGATACCCACTTTAACATAACGTCAGAATTATGAACACAACAAGAAAATTGAGAATAATCTTGTGCAAGGGTAGGGACCCAGATGTCGATTCTAACCCAAATAAACTTTAAGGAGGCTTCTCATCAGTAGCCGCACCTCCTTACTCGGTTTCTGAACTGGAATTCTATGGGCTTCCAGACGGCCAGATCGAGTATTACCATCCCATCCTTCTAGAGTTCATCACAAGTAGCACCCACCTTGAAGATCTTTGACACCCAGACACACCCCATTGGCGAACAAACTTTGGATATAATCTTACAAGCTATTGTTTATTTCATTATACGATGAGACACCATTAATTACATCCTTTCAGCGCTGATATATAACAAATAATTTGAGGCGGAGAAGACAGAAGAAAACACATCGGCAAAGTCAATGGACGGCTATACAGCAACGTGGCTAGTGGCCCGCCTGCACGGAGGGGACGGAACGGTTAACAGGTATGGTTAATCAATCGTGTTCAAAAGGAAATTTGCAATCACTGTCTGAAGAATATTGGAGTAGGGCTTCCCCACTTTGAATGTTTTGTCTCGGTATTGTCGTATACTTAGTACTTACCAGAATACAAATTTAATATTTCGATTTGATATAAATTCAAAATTAGAACATTCAAATGGTAAAAAATTGTGAATGATTTTCATGGTGAATCAAGTTTCCAAATTGTAAAATTTCACCATTTTGTTTGTTTGGGGACCGGTTTTTGGTTCACCAGCTAATGTTTACAAAATCATAAGATACATAACAATATAATTTTATTCAATATAAGTGAGAATGAGAATTAAAAATTATGATGTAACCTTTATCGTTTATTCTTTTTTTTAAACCAAAAACTTTAAAAAACTTCATTCAACATTTCAAATAAAACAAACAGTTATACTCATCAACCACTTATCATACACTAAAAAGTTGTTTAAAAACGCTACAGTGTACAATTACATGCGGTACATTTTCTTTCGCAATTTTTAAACTTTCTTCAAAACATCATCAAACAGTATAAGAAAAAAAAACAGATATTTATTCCGGACCATGCCGGTAGTTCTAATGACCAATTTACAAAAATAGTTATATATAAATAATATTATAATTATTGTCACTACAACAGCTACAGTGATGATTATTTACATAGCTGACTAGTGTCTTATTATTGTGTTAATTATAACTTAGTGTGGAACCTGACAGTGACTTTATTATTATCTAAGTTAGTGATCAGTTAGTGACTAACATAAAGAGTATACTGTGTTGAAGTAATTAGCTATTATTAAATGCATAAGTCGGATAACTAGGAGCATAAGTCCCACCTCCCTGGACCTCATTCCCTTCTCCCTCAGTCCCTTACATCGCCGCCCAACCGTGCATCACTTCTTCATAGCTGGGTAGTGGTGGTGCACTAATGTCTGGTGGTGGTGCACTAATGTCTGGTGGTGGTGCACTAATGTCTGGTGGTGGTGCACTAATGTCTGGTGGTGGTGCATTAATGTCTGGAGGCGGTGCACTAATGTCTGGTGGTGGTGCATTAATGTCTGGAGGCGGTGCACTAAAATCTGGAGGCGGTGAACTAATGTCTGGCGGTGGTGCACCTATGGCTGGAGGCGGTGCATTATGATTAATGTCTGGAGGCGGTGAACTAATGTCTGGTGGTGGTGCACTAATGTCTGGTGGTGGTGCACTAATGTCTGGTGGTGGTGCACTTATGGCTGGAGGCGGTGCGTTTGCGTCCGGCTGGTATTGGAGGTTGATGTGTTGCACCTGTTCATGTTGACGAAGTGGGATTGTACCGATGGTGATGTTCACCGGAACGTTCAGATGATACCCAAACCATAAGGGATGCACACTGAGCACCACAGTGTACATTATATCTATGATGTTACAGTTGATGAGGCGGGAGGGCGGGAGGGGTGGTAGGAGGAGCCCGACATTACTCCACGTGAAACTGGCACCCGGTGCAATCCTTCCCCTCGTGCGGGTCAATATTGTCTTGTTTACGGTCTGCTTCTTACCACATGATGATGTGAAAATATTGCTCTCAATCAGCTTTATCTTTGATTTGGTCATGACCTTGTTGCTAAGATTCTCTATACTAGCGGAAAAGGAAATGCTCTCCCCACACACGAACCCCAGCTTGGGGAAGGAGAGTGAAGCGCTGAGTGGACCAGTAGTACAGCAGAGATATCCAAACTTTTTACTCCCACTAATGGTCTTCGGATGTGCTGCACCTGAAATAATTTGGTCGATCAGCAGTTATGTTTTAAGATATATTATGAGCTTTGTCGAGTAAATGTGGTGTATGAGCGTGTCAAATTTTGCAGAAATCTCAGAACTTGTTAAGGCCAGAGGGGGGAGGGTAAATGGCACTTTTCTAGTTTTCATATAATATTTGATAATAGCTGCTGGAGACGAACAAGAAGAAAAAAACCGGATCAAAATCTGACCTTGCGTTCCTGAGATATCGCGCGCTAAATTTTGAGGTTTACCTGTAATTATATGTTAAACTGGATCTTTAAACGGCTGTAACTTTTTTGACCTTTCGATTCCTTAGTTGAGAAAACCGGCCACTCCCTGATCTTGAGGTTTGGTACAGTGGTTCCTTGGACAATTATCCTTATTTATGGTGCAGCGATTTTTTTTATTTGAATCGGTTCTCGAATTATGAGGTTAACCATGTCAAAAATTCGACAAATTTAGTTGGTTAACCTCATAATTCGAGAAACGAGTCAAATAAAAAAATCGCTGCACCTAATGTCTAGATAGTTGTCCAAGGTAGTGTTGCAAGTAAGAGAGGCATACAGTTATATACTTCTTTTAATGAAAATGAATAAGAACTTCGTGAATTACTTGGTTTGGTCAGAAATGCACGTATACACAGGGGACCCGCTATCCTAGCAAAGACTCCAGAACACTTTATTGTTTTCACAGAGCTGGAGTGTAGAAATAGTCAAAGCTATTGTTTATTTCATTATACGATGAGACACCATTAATTACATCCTTTCAGCGCTGATATATAACAAATAATTTGAGGTTAAATGGCGGAGAAGACAGAAGAAAACACATCGGCAAAGTCAATGGACGGCTATACAGCAACGTGGCTAGTGGCCCGCCTGCACGGAGGGGACGGAACGGTTAACAGGTATGGTTAATCGTGTTCAAAAGGGAATTTGCAATCACTGTCTGAAGAATATTGGAGTAGGGCTTCCCCACTTTGAATGTTTTGTCTCGGTATTGTCGTATACTTAGTACTTACCAGAATACAAATTTAATATTTCGATATTTCGATTCCTTAGTTGAGAAAACCGGCCACTCCCTGATCTTGAGGTTTGGTACAGTGGTTCCTTGGACAATTATCCTTATTTATGGTGCAGCGATTTTTTTTATTTGAATCGGTTCTCGAATTATGAGGTTAACCATGTCAAAAATTCGACAAATTTAGTTGGTTAACCTCATAATTCGAGAAACGAGTCAAATAAAAAAATCGCTGCACCTAATGTCTAGATAGTTGTCCAAGGAACTAGTTGTTTAAACGATTTTACTGATAAGAGAGCAACTGTTACGGCACAAAGAAGCGCAAGCATTACTAGCAATATAAGTGTCCAAGTTACCCTCCTAGTCTCCTACACAATTTGAACTTTTTCGTCATATTTGAACTAACTATGAATTGATTGTGGGTATAAAATAAAATTTTGTTTTACTAACAAGAAATGCACCGGTTTTCTTTTGTGGATGGCCGCTCAATTTCCCGATCCGTGATGGCTTATTTTACTAAATTCAATATAACCTGGGTCAAAGGTCAGCGCTTATGTGTAATTGTATTGCGCGAACGTTTTTCTATCGCGCATTCTTAAAATCGAGTCTAAAAACCTATCTTCTCCTACAATTTTTGAGCAATCACCCTCAAAATTTCAGGATATGTTCTTAGGATCAGTTAGAGGCCCCCTTAATCACTGATCACTTCTTATTGATCTATAAGAACATTTGTTGTTTTGAGATACGAACATTTTATGTTTAATTTCAATTCTGTATTTTATGTAGGGTCGGCACTAATATCTTTAAATGGTTTAACCGTCGTATTTTTATTTAGCTGAAATAGATTTTTTAATTTATGTTTTATAATTATGTACATTTTTCTCACTCCAGCTGCAGTCTGGTAGTGTCGAGATTCATGAATGTTTTTCTAGCCTTCTTTATATCAATAAATCATATTGTTGCCTCATTGCTAAAAGAACTGGATTCTTCCAGGAAGCATCCCGTGCACAGAGCTTGGTCTACATATATATTAAATTATTAACCATTCATTCTGTATGTGCACGAAAATTTATTTCAATCAATCATTGTAGATATATTTTGGTCTTCAAGTGTAAATGTAATTGTAATACATTAATGTAAAATGTGTTTAAAAAAAAGAAAACTCACCGTACATATCCTGGTTGAGGTCGATTGTTGACACAACTGTGACATCAAGAAAAATGTACAGAGGTTTCTTTTTTCTTCTAATTTTAACAGTCAAGTCATACTGGACCCTCCCTGTGGGTATGTGTTGTAAGTTTCAATCTGTGTCGCTGTGTGTAATCGAGTTTCAAGTTAAATCTCAAAATCACAAACGATATGCAATGATAAATCATCATTATGTCAATTGTTCAATTTAGACTTTGGATTTAGACTTGATGCAAATTTAGACTCGATGCAAATTTAAGCTATAATATCGAGATATTATTGGAGCCGTGGGCTTCATAGTATAGAGGAAGTTGTAAAGAGAGAGGAGAATGCACTCACCACTTATGTGGTGAGAAGTAGAGACCCAGAACTGATTGCTCTGAAGGACTACTTTGTCAAAGACAAGAAGAGATAGAGAAAGAAACTGACCGAACACAACGCGAGGAAATACGCAAGGAGAAGTGGACAGCTAATATTAATAGCAATTGTTGCAATTTTTTGAATTTGCATATCATGAAGATCATCTGCCTGTATCCATACTACTTAATATAACATTAGTAACAGTTTGATTACAAGATGATTTCATCGATATTATTTACGAGATATGGATCTTTAAAGAGCACAACAATTACAAGTTAAGACTCCTAAAATAGCTTATCAAATATTTATTCATTATTGCTGTAGCCTGTATTTATGATATGTTTAGAAGTTATAAATTAAAATTAAAGGGAGATTTGCAGGTGAATGATATAGTCAGCTGCAACAATTATACATATCAAAGTAGTATGTAAAACGGTATCAATTGTGTGGACAGTAACCATAATGATAACGACTGTCCATCATAATGCCAGATATCTCCACTGATTATGACTAATTATCATGATAATAATAGATAACTCTAATTGCAGTAAATATGTATAACCCCAGGTCACGAAGCAAATCACCCACTTACCATGCTTTCCAGTGAAAGTGGCGGGTATGTTCGTGGGAAGAGTTATAGAGAAGGGCAAGTTGTGACGTCCAGCCGGAAGCTTGCTCTCCTCCCTGCCGTCCCCGATAAGATACAGTTCTATGTTAAGGTAGGTCTCAGAGTTTTTATAGTGAATTGTGTGGTTTCTCTCTCCTCCACTCTGCTCTGTCCAAGCAACCTACGGAAGATACCCTGAGTTAAATAACCCATGACCCAGCAAAGTCCCCTATCATTGGTACACTCCCGATCACGAGCACGTGACTGTCCGCATATAGACGATTTACACATTTAGTTTGATAGCTCCTGCTAAACTTACTTTTCGTATCAATTATATGTTTTAAATAATCCCGCTCCAGATCTAGGATATAATAATAATAATAATACATTGTTGCAGTTGTTTCTCTTGCTTTCTTCCCTTGATTTGCAAGCCCTCTTTCTAGTATAAATATTGTGTTTAGTATTTTGTATCAATATTCTTGTATTGATTGTGGTAATTTGTGTGTCAGATTTCAGTAATAGGTGTTTGCTGAATTACTGTATTATACATTCTGTGACTCTAGCGAGTTGTAGTGAGTCCCATCTCTTGCCCTCTAAGCCCTGTTTCTTGTTTATACTGTATACAACAAATCATACTTATGTAATAAACATTTTTTTGTAGTGAAGGGTTGTTTGAATCTCTATTTGCTAAGTTATATAATATACACTTGGTGATCGTTTCTCCCGTTTTTCTTCCCTTGCATTGCAAAAACAATCAATACATAATGTTATATTCATAAATAAATTCAAATTTCAATTTCAACCATATATACAGCACGCCGGGCAAGCCCTGTCTCTTGTAAAAACAACCACTTTTGTAGATACACACAGTGTCTACGCCTTTATCCTCTGGTCTCTAGGGTCAGCTGACTCCAGGCCAGATGAAAATTACCGATTGCCAAGGTTTGATGCCTAGGCGGTCGAGACCTCTTATTGAGAGGTCTTAACAATGTCACTGAAAAAGTACTTCCTTTGGAAAGAAAATAAGTCACACGGAACCAGAATGATAGACCTAACGCAGCAACATTTCAAGGATCTGGCCTATTACACTCAGGCAGACATAATGAGCTACAAAAATAAGATCTGGATTGACAGCATCGAAACAAATCTGCAATGCAGAACTGTCAGTAAGAACAAGGAGACCAAGATACTCGGTGCGATCACAAAGATCAAAAACAGTGGGCTGCTCCTAGACAAAAACAACTTCTTATTCGGGCACAATATGAGTAAAAATCTAGACAGCCAAATAATGGACTACATTCACGGCAGCTCGCCACTCTTTGCGAATATCCAAAAGGTCATGGGTGGTGGCAGTGGTGAGGCCTGTCGTTTCTGCAACAGCTTCAATGATTCTCCTGTACACCAGCTCCTATTGTGTCTGGAGGTGCAAGACACCAGTTACCTGCAACTAAAGAATAGAAGAGCTGGGTGGGGCTGACTCACATTACTATCTAGATGAAGTGTTAACAAAAATCAGCACACAAAAAGTATTCATTAGAAGAGTCGAATTCCTTTGGGTACAAAATGATGCTCTCAAGGATTTATCCAACTAAAAGATCATAAAATAATGACTCTGCAAACATCTCAGAGAAATAATACCACCGTAAAGAATAAAGAGGGGGATCCTGGACCCCGAAATCCACCACTTTTCTGTACTTTCAGAGGTACCAATGTGGCAGATAACCAGGGCTCATGCTGCCGCTGAGCTAAAGCAGTAGAGGGGATGGCGGCTTCTCTAGGATCTAACACGTCCTGAAGCAGACCAACACTATGTCCCAACGCACTGGTGTTGGGATGTCTGCCCCCGGTACCTGTCCGGGTCAATAAAGCAGTCAAGCATCATGTATGTTATGTTGAGCATTCTCAACCAACAAATGTGGGAACCCCCACGAAAGACCAAAACAGATCTAAAGAGACACTTAACAACATTGGAAAAATAGACTTCAATTTGTTTATATAATTTATAAAGCATATATTATTGCCCACGTTAAGGGGCCTGTTAATAATTTAGTAAATTATTTGCTATTTTAGATTTAATAATAATAAAAATCTTATTGAGACCCGATATAATAATAATATAATATAACTCAGATTATGTAATTACACTTACATTGGCGTCACCATGCATTTCCAAGGTAATGGCACGGAAGTCAAGCTCAGCTGCTAATTTGAGAAACACCTGCCCTGCTATGGTCTGTCCGGGAGAGTATACTGGCCGAGGGTTCCGGTTGTGAAGCCGGATCTCAAACTTTGTTATCGATTCCTTTTCCATCTTCAATAACAGAAATTCAGAGTCTGTTATTGATTTTAAAATCAAAATTTAGATGCATATTTAGATGCATATTTTTGATATATGCAATTTGTGTTGTATATATACAGGGTGGCCCAGAAGTAACTGCCCAAACGCAACCCTTTAATAACTCACGTAATCCTTCTTAGATAGAATTGCACAGAAATTTCAGAGATTATAGATATGGGTCAAACTTAGATTTCCTAAAAGTTTCGTCAAATTTAATTAATTACAGTGGGTGTGGCATGCGACTCCCTCTTTTTCGCTATTGTCACCATAACATAAAGTGATAACGCTTTCAGCTAGGAACTTTAAAGTTTCTAGACATATTTGATCTGATATTATTATTATAACCAACATTGCTTATATTCTGCCTTGTAAACAAAGAGCAAATCTTCTTAATGCCTTCTTCCTGTCCTAAAACTAAAACTTCATCCTATTAAAGTAAAGGCCTGTTGTTACCACAAGCTATTATACCGTCCCTCTCAAAAACATGCCTCAGCCTCCATCATAAACAATTTTAGTTTTCAGTCCTTCTAGTTTCCAAAAATCTACCGAGCTAGTGTTCTGGTGTGCACAAAAGCCCCTAAGCCCGTGCATTCCTTGCCCCCGCTAGCTGCCAGTCCTTGACAAACTTCCAATAGCAAAGATCAACTAGTCATTTACAAATTGAGCACTATACAATTTTAATTGTTTTAAATATTGACTTTGTAAAATGAGCTAAAACATTGATTTATTAGTTTCATTAGTTTCATTGATAATTGAATTGCTTTCCCAAAATTTCAAGTTGGTTTTTCACAATTTAACCGAGTTATGGCTCTTTTAAGATATTGCTGATACTTGATCTTGGCACTTAAGCAGTGATTTCGTCACCCAATCAGTAATCTCATCGAAAGCTATTTGCTAGCGAGCAACAATGAGCTTCATTATGCGGTAACGAGTATGTTCAATGTTGGTGGATGAGGAGCTGATCACTATGATTGAATAGTGACGTTCCTTAGAACCAATTTGAAATTTTAAGGAAAATGCTTTAATATTGAATATCAAACCAAATATGTTTAGAAAATTTAAAGTTTTTAGCTAAAAAGCGTAATCACTTTATGGTGGCAGTAGCGAAAAAGGGATTGGCGCGCCACACCCAATGTAATTTATTAAATTTGACGAATCTTTCAGGAAATCCAAGTTTAACATGACCCATATATTTTAATTTTTGAAATTTCTTTGCTTTGCAATTCTAAAAATATTTGCGTGAGGTATTAAAGGGTTGCGTGTTCATATAGCCGTACCATGTGTATACACGTACGGCGGTCGCGCGCTACTAACGCTCTGGTTAGAGCAAGGTTGCGTGTGCAGTGTGAAAAGTTTCTTTTGGGACACATTGTATTTTAAATGTAATAGATTTGATTTTGTTTCATATGATCTAATGCGCGGCTTCTACCATTAAGTACGTTTACGATGCACAGGGGGGCTAAAACATAAAATCAGGTTTTCAATAAAACGGTGCCTTTTGTAGTTGAACTTCGCCAACAGTTGCGTTCGTCCAATGAAATCGCTGAATTTTGCAAGTCATTATGAATAACCGAATTACATACAATCATACATTCATAAGCGGAGCTTGGCTTACATTTGATACATGTTTCGAATCGGCGGCGCGCTTCAGCAAAATATTTTTTGGTGGTTTCAGCTTCAGATTGTTATTGATATGTTAGCTTAAACAGCTGTTTGTGCGGTCTTTTTCGTTTTCAATACACCCTTTAGACATTCATGGCACACTTGGCTTTCAGTTCTGGTTGCTAAGTAGTCCTCTTCCTATTAATCTAGAAAATAGGTGAATAGTTTCTTGCCGTTTATATGCCATCCATAATGAGTACATTTATTACAGTGTATTAGACCATTGGATGTATACGTCTGTTCTTGTTGTGTGTTAAAAATTTACGGTAAAGGTTCCCTTTCATTTTCTTACTTTCTAAAATTCTGGAGATGGCTTATGGATTGTAAATCACTAGGCCACCTTAATTGTTTAATTGGACAGAAGTGATCATAGTAGTGTCAATATGTTCGTTTTTAACCATAAACTGCTCATTCAGACTAGTTGAATTCTTTTTATTGGTCTATAATCACAGGTTCAAAATTCTTTAAGGAGCAGTAACATTCATTTTGCTATGTGTATTCGCTTATTGTAACTTCTTGAATTTTGGGGCCTTATGCACTTTGAAATCGACAATGTATTACGATGATGGTTCTCCTATTACAATCATCAAGGACTTTGCATGTCAAGTAAACTTGGAGTAAATGTTTGTTATGACAACATGATTGTGGTCTTTGTGATACTGTTTCCTAGTTTAGCAATGCGGGTAAATATCCTGACTACTTGTACATTCCAAACATTTCATTGTAATGTCTAATTTCTTATAGTTCATACTGCTGATCGTTTTTTTGGTTACATTTTACATCACCCAGCAAATAACATTCTTACTTCCTTTAAATCATCATGCATCTGTATATAATCTAAATATTTGTCAAGAGACTAAACAACTTTCAGATCTGTAGAAACAGCAGATGAAATATTGCAATCTGTAAGATGGATCCAAATAGCCTCGATTTGGTCATATTGGCAAAAATAAGTTTAGTTGAATCATTTTAAACTTTATGTGCTCACTGATGAGAATGCCACATCCCATGACCCATTGTCGTTCATACGCTCGCACGCCAGAGACCTTATACGAGCAGAGCGGATAAAAGTAAAATTCCAGATGGAAGACGGTGAGTCGCGTATACTTTTCTTTGGGGGGTGGGGATCAATTCGTCCTCAGTAGACTTAGATTTGTTTCATTCAAGTCGAATTAAAACATCTAATTTCTCTTTCTGATTAGATTCGCGAGTGTCATGGATGATGAAGTGTTTTCTAAGACACTGCTGTGCTCGTGAGATGTGCTGTCTGTTTAATGTATATAGCAGTACCCTGATACTCTCGGCATGGACACCGGAGAACCCTATCCCCTGCTCAAGCTTTTTGGATGGTATGAAACTGTGATTTTACTAATGCACGGGATAAAGCAAGTACTGCTGTGAGAGCATGAAATTTTTTCCAATTTAGCTGCTATAACTTGTTCCAGTGATTACCAATATTATTATTATTGTTTAAAATCTGCACATAGAGATGTAGTGCAAATATGTATGAGATCCATCTAACAAAACTATTCTATAACTTCAATAACATGAGGAACAATGTGTAATTATCCCTTCCCTAGGAATCTAGATGAAATAAATGTAACAATCTTTCTGAAATTCAAACTTGTTTGGGCCCATACTTCAGAAATTTAGCAGTCGAATAACACGCTTTGTATGACACGGTGGACAGTTATCAGATATTTTTGCAGATGCGTCTTCTGGGCAACAATAAAATCTTTCCGGAATCCAATTCTATTATAGTTAAATAAATTATGGGTGCTAATGTAATTTAATACAAGAACTCTTTGCTACACATATCCTTAATAACCTTAATTCAGCTCTGGCCACTAATCATTGCGGCCTTTTGTAGCACTGGGGAAGAACATTGAGAACTTTATTGTACGCCCAAAATTTTAAATTCCATATATTGTGACAGAATTAACCTCATTTCCCAATAACCGAGTGCCTGTATTAGTTAACTATTCAAAACAACATATTTTAGGGCTATGATTGGTAGATCAACCATCAGATAATGAGTTGAAAAGGTTTTTAGGACACCTCACAATAGAATAGAGGTATGGTATCATGAGTGTGACAAAGTTACCCAAATATTGCCTTGTAACCGTTCGATCCGTGCCCATTAACCAATGTTGTATCATAATTGTTAGATTGACCTAATTTACTATATTTCAGACCAAGGAATGATAATTAGACAACTGCAGTTAACTAACTCACACAAAATGTGACAATTGAAACATTATAGTGCCTAACAACAATAGATTTTCTTTCTGAGCGGTGCATATGGGAGTATGGGTTACGTGGCTAATGTTCAGAACTTCTGAACGTGCTAGGTTAATAGATGTCAAAATTAAGCCACTATAGCTATCGTCAAAAACGCTATTATTTTTGTTTACCAATATCCTCAAACTCAAATGAACGTGTCCATATACAATTGAAACGTTTTTGACTGGGTCAAATGCTTTAATGGCCTCCAAATCAGCATGAAAAAATAAAAAATAGGCCAAGAAATAGGAGTTTTAGACCCCAAAATTTGGACCCCCAAGTGGTGTCAAAAACGCAAATTAAATAGGTAATAATTATTATAGTCTCTTGAGTCTTGACACCATTTTAGGGTTATACGGGTTCCTGCTAGTAATGATAACGACTGTCCATCATAATGCCAGATATCTCCACTGATTATGACTAATTATCATGATAATAATAGATAACTCTAATTGCAGTAAATATGTAATATGTATAACCCTAGGTCACGAACAACACCCTGGAAGCAAATCACCCACTTACCATGCTTTCCAGTGAAAGTGGCGGGTATGTTCGTGGGAAGAGTTATAGAGAAGGGCAAGTTGTGACGTCCAGCCGGAAGCTTGATCTCCTCCCTGCCGTCCCCGATGAGATGCGCTTTTATGTTAAGGTAGGTCTTAGAGTTTTTATAGCGAACAGTGCGCCTATCGTCTCCTTTCCCCTCTTTCGCTTTCCAAGCAACCTATAGAAGATATGTAGTAAAATAGGATTAGGGTCAATTTAGTAGGGTCAAGGGTTAAGTTAGGTTTTTAGTACAGTTTATATTATAGTTTAATAGTTAGTTCTTATAGTCCATAATTAGAGTAAAGTAATTTCGTAGGTTTTATATTGCAGCATCTTTTAGAATCCTTTTAGTGCTAGGTTACATTCATTTACATTTCTTATCTTTAAATTTTAGTTTTACGTGTAAGTAAGAGCACGCGGAAGTTGTACTCATGCGTGACTTATATTCACGCGTGAGTGCAGCCTTTTTAAGGGCCTACTTGTTCAGTGCGGGCGTCTAGTCTG